GGAGCAGGGAGCCCGATGAGGAACTCGATCCCAGGACCCTGGGATCATGACCTGAGCCGAAGGCAGACGCTTAACCATCTGAGCCACCCAGGCGCCCCCAGTGTATTTATTTTAAAAGACTCTTGTTGATTCTGTTGTTTGGCCCTCTTGCTTTGTTAATGTTCAAATACCCTATCTTTTAGGGTGAGAGGGAGTAGTTTTTAATGTTTTTCTTTGATGCAGTAAAACTTGGCCATACTCTGTTGGTCTTCCTTTTTCTTTCTTTTTCTTTCTTTCTTTCTTTCGATATTTTTATTGACCTGTGAAATCCAGAACTCTTAGAATCACTGATCTAATGATGAGACCTGAGATGTTTTCTGAGCTCTCAGTTTATCTAAATAACAATAATATAAGCCAACATTTATTGAACACTCGGTACTGTGCTTGATGGTTTATACAATTATAGCATTTAAAACAAGCTCCCTGAACATCCCCCAGCTAGTGGGAAAGTGGAGCAGAAGTCCTACGAAGAGCCGGGCATTACAATTTTGCCTTTACTATCCACCAAGGGGATAATCCACACCTGAATTATTAGAATTGACTGTAATTTATTTCTTAGTCCCTTCGTGAATCACCTAACAGACACATTAATGTGTTTGTTACATGAGATGAGGTATGTAAGGAGCTTAGCATGATGCCCGATGCATCTAAGCACCCAAGGAATGGTAATTATTATTATTATTTACTATTATTGTTATTGATGATGTTGTTGTTAGTGAGCTGACCATAGATATGTGGCAAGAATTCAGGGTTGAAGGATGAGCATTAGAAGTAGGCAAAGTTGAGAAGAACATGGACATTGTTTGCTCTTCTATGGCTCAATGGGAAAGACACCATGAGCTGGGCTTACAGTAGGCTTGGGGCTGGGGGTCTGCTGACATTCCCTGGCCTGGTGTTGCTTCTGCTGTGTCTGCAGCAGACAGATTTATACCCACCAGCAGCCTGGGAGGTTCTGGTGAAGGGACCCAGTGTAGTCATACAGCATAATTGTCTGGTACAACACATCAAGTCTGGACTTATCCTGCTGTGAAATTTCCTCTCAGGGCCTGGGTTTGATGTTTTACCTGAGGAGTCCAAGTCCAACACCAGCCAGGTATATTGGTTGCTGTGGTGTGGGGAGGGGCAGTGTCCCAGAGATTAGAACATAATGTCAGATACATGATAATCCAAAACCAAGTGACGTCAACCCAAGTCCCAGTTCTGCTTGTTCTGCAGCAATGTAAAAATCACATCTTTGTCTCCAAGACAGATGAGAAAAACTAAGGAAATCTGTGAGCATTTTATCACAACTCACATTGACCATTGACATTCCAGTTCCTTCTCTCCTGCCAAGTGAGGTTCTGTCCAGCTGGCGGCACCACCTGGTTGATTTTTGTCTACCTTTGATCAGTCCTTTTGCTGCAGACCTCTCCCTAGTTACTCAATACTTTGGTTGTGGTCGATTGTAGTTTCTTTATTGGAAACTATGATTATTTTTTAATGATGATAAATCAGAAGTCTCCCTTTTTTCTTCTGTCACTTTGGTGGACTGTCAAAAACTGTTTCTGTTTCTCCTCTCTAAGGATACCTTCTTCTTCACCTGGCTTAAAATTCCATGGAGCATTTGTTCTGGAAATGCCTGCATCTTCAGGTTGGTTTATCTAGTGCTGTGCCATAGAATTGACGTCAGCACCTTGGAGAGCACCACTTTTCTGATTCCCTTGCCCCTCTATTTTAATTGCTACTTTTATGCCTTGACCTTCTCTCTCCTAGTCCTGTGGTTCTCCAAAGAGGTTAGACATTTCTCCAGAAATAGAAATTCCCTTGTCAATTTCTTCCTAAGGCACCATAGGCAGAGACACTTATGCTGAGCTTGGGGTAGGCTCTCCAGCCTCTGATGGGTATGAGGTTTATGGTGCTATGGCGAACTGCTATAGAGCAGATTTACCGACTCAGACATGATATAAGACAATTACCATGCATTTCGTCTCTTACAGGGAAAAGGATTTGCTGCGGGTTAATAGTACTTTTATTTCATTATCTAATGGTAAAAGTGTTTCATTGTGTGTGCAAGATGAATGCGTATTAGCGATGACAAATGGGGTCTTTCAACACGGTGCCGGGCCTCATCATACATATGTTAGATTAAAGAGTTCACCCTAGAAATACACTCTTGCATCTGTGTGTGTGTTTTTAATAAATCTGATTGCAGAAATTTATTGCATCACCGGATTTAGGAAATTATGGGGCTTGATTGCTGCAAATATAATCGGGTGATATATACAGAAATGCTCCTCGAGTTATGGTCCAGAAAAAAAGCCCATCTCGGGATGGTGCAAGAAAGCAGCAGACCACATAAACAGAGCATTTCTTGAATTATGCAAATGAAACCCATCACAACTCATGGTGAATTGTACTCCCCTTGTGAGACTGCCACCATTAAAGCGAAGAAAGCTGAGAGAGGGGTGATCAAATATACATGTACAACCAGCAGACCCTGTCTGTGATGTGTGTAAGCTGGAGGGGCCCCCCCTTCCATCCCTCACTCTCTTTTTTCCCCTCAATGGTACGTCCTGTAAAAACCTGGTCTGGCGCTTTCATTGCACATAAGCAAGCAAGGTACCTTCCAAACCATTTCTTCTGAATCCAGGAGTCTTCAGTGAAATATTTCTTATACTTGAAGTGAACCTTAAATGATTTACTACAGGATACACAAAAGGTCAGCTTGCTTCTTATTGGCACCTTCATTTTTCCAAAATCTACTGAAATTAAAAAGCCATCTATATCTTAAAAGGCGCATTTATGAACCCTTAAGTGTAAGTAAGTCATAGTTGGAACAGTTCCCACCTCTGATATATGAAAGCTGTCGACAGCACTTTCTTACACTATAATATGCCCATACAATATGCCGCACTTTACTATTTTGACACGGTTTGGAGATGTTTTCTACAGTTACTGACAAGCTTATGCCATCACTCTTTTGGAAATTTAAGAGGTGGGGCAGGGGGGTGGGGGAGAGATTAAAAAAAAAAAAACCAACTCCACCCAACTTTATGGGAGATTATTGATCTTCCGATGAGCAAAAAAAGCTGTCCTGGATTTTTTTCAGTTGCATCCCGTTTTGTAAATTATTCATTTGTGCCAGGAGTCAATATCCTGTCTTTTCTCAGCTTTGTGAGTTAAGAAAACTTGTTCAGAATGCTGTTTTGTACAATGATTAAAAAGGAAGAGGAGGGGGAAAAATCTTTTTCTTTTCTCTCTCTCTCTCTCTCTCTTTTTTTTTTTTTTTTTTTTTTATTGTTTCAGAAGGAGCTTAATTCCGTCGCTTCCGAGCTGTCTGCACGGCAGGAGGAGAGTGAACATTCTCATAAACATTTAATTGAACTCCGCCGGGAATTTAAGAAAAATGTACCTGAGGTACAGTATATTTGCTGTTATAGAATTAACTCAGTAGGAATGCAGATTTTTCTCTGTTCAAACTATATTTTGGAAACTGTAGACATAAGTGACTAACAAGAAAAGAAGCTAATTAGCCACAAAGAGAAATTAAAGCCCCCAACCTTTGGGTGTTTCTTGGTATAGTGGTTCTCAGCGGGGCTATCTAAAGTGAGGGCAGGACACTTCTCCATTGAAGTCATTGTTTCTGAGGGCTCCCTAAAACATCTATTTTGCCCCTATATTCATCTTTAGTCAAATGCTTGGCCTTGACAGCAAAGACAGTTTGTCTAGGGTTCTTGATTTTATTTTGCTTTTCCATTGGTGTCTGGGAGAGGACAGCTATAGGCTCCCCTACCCTCTGGGCCTTCCCTCAGTCTCCTCTGAAACTGCCTCCCACTGCCATAAACAGGCTTCATTCTTCCCCTTCACCTCTTGCCTTGCAGCTCCAGCCACCAGCTCTGTCTTTCCCAGCTGCCATGAGGGTGGTCCAGATAATGACCAGTCCCATCCTGCCACCCCCTCAAGCCCCCAGGGGAAGAGACTAGAATGGACATGTTTTTGTTCTTTACAGGGGTGAATGTGTTAATTCCTTTACTTTCTCTATCAGGCCCCCTGTTGCTGCTCAGATTTAAAAAAAAAAAAAAAAAAGATGGAATAAATAGGAAAAAAAAAAGCCCTCTGATTCCATATAATGTTACCAAGGATGTGACACATCAGAGCCACTGGGAAACAGAGAGATTAAAAAAAAAAAAACCTGACTGTCCCCAAAGCCAACTGTGGTTCTCTGTGGTCAGCAGAGGTTAACAGTTGACCTCTCTGTCCTAACCTACTCAGGTGGCCTGGATCTTGGAGGAGGGTGGGGCAGCATCTGGCATTCTGGAAGTATCAGACCTGGAGATGTTGATCCCACTCTGCCTGTTAGAATCACCCAGGGGTCCTGTTACCATCTTGCTGATGGAGAAGGAGGCCATGGAAAGACGGAGAAGAGTCAGGCCTACCCAGGAATTGGGCTACATGAGCAAAGAGGGGTTGAGTCTTCTAGCTGTGAAATCCTCCTCACAAGTGATAAGTGTCTTTGGTTCTTCAAGGCAAGAGAGGGAAGTGGACTATAGCTAGAACTTGCCCATGGAGCAAGTATGAAAGGAATCTTAGGTTTGAGAGCTGAGGGAGGGTACGCTTGGAGAAGGAGTGAAAATCTCAGGTCCAAGTGTCTCCCATGTCGCGGCTTCAAAAAGGCCAAGTCAAGTCCTGGGCTTGACCCCTGGAGCTAGGAAGGCCTAGGTGATGCTGAGTGTCCTTTGCTTCCTTCTTAGAACAGAGAACAGCTTGATATTTAGACTGATTTTCTGCCCAGAAAGAGGGTACCAGAAGCTTTGCCTCTGATTCTCCATTCTGTAGGAAGCAGAGATGAAGCAGCCCTAGATCTTCCCAGCCCTACGTGCCTTCTCTTTGGTCAGCACAGACCCTCCATCTCATCCTCCTCTCCCAGGCCACATGGGAGCCCCCAGGTGATGAGGAAAATCCAGGCCAGGTTTTAAGCCTCCAAGTTCAGCTTACATAATTTTAATACTGCATAATTATGCAATTATGTAATTAGGAGGAATAAGTTTCCATTCCTATTATAGTCGCGCCTCTGAAAATTCTCATTTTTGGAACTAGTGTCTCCTGATTGGGAGAGTCATGCCAAGGCTTTATTTAAGAACATCATCTGGCTGGTGCCCAGCTCACCTCCCGCTGGTGCCTATGCTCAACTTCACCCCCAGAGGTGAAGCATACAGGACAGGGGGCTTCTAGAAATGGTCAGCATTGGTCCAAAGTCCTGCCAATCCCCCACCCTTGGCCCTCAGATTTGAATCCCCTTGAGTGTGGTATTGTGCAGGCAGCTTATCTGGGCTGTCTGTTGACCTGCATTCAAATTCCAGCTGAGCCACTCACTCATTGCCGGACTTGAGCAAGCCAGCCCCTCTCAGGACCTTGGTCTCCCCTTCTGGAAAATCAGGGGGCTGGAGAGATGATTTCTGAGGCCCCTTCCATCACTAACATTTCCTGAACTTGGACTTGAGGTTTAACCTGCTGATATGTTGTATTTGGTCTGTAAAGTCGTTCAGGTTTTACAGTAAGTTACCAACATCTAGCATCTCAGAAGATTTCACCCAAAACCCCAGATTTCCAGTATCTTTTGAGACTCTTTGGTGGATCTGGTCAGACAGGGGCTCCATGCCCACATGGCAGTCACCAGCTGGAGCCAAGCAGCTGCTACCTCCATTACAGGGGGCTCTCAGCCCGCCTCCCTCGTGTCCACTCCCCCCGCCCCAGCCTCTGCGGGCATTTGAGTTCACAACCTGGGACCTGGGTTTTCATGCATTTCCTTTTCCATGGCTCAGCCTATGCACCCGTAGTTCCTTGTGATCAGATCCACTAGATTGACACGCACTCCCTATGTCCCTCCTGAAGATCCCAAACATACCATTAGTATATCACCGGCTCCAAGGAGCCCTGGAAGACACCAATCAGTGAGGAGGTGTACCCAGGACCCAGAAGAGGGATCATTTTCAGGAACAGAAGCACAACCTTATTTCATAATTAAGGGATTTATTCTTTACCTGAACATATGTATTCTTGTGTCCACGTCTTCCTTTCCTGCTTCTCTCTACTGTCCCCTCTCTCCCCACACTCTCGAACCCCTCTCAGCTCCTCCTTCCACAGGGGTTTCTTATGGGACCTGACTGACAGCAGTCATGGAGTCACCAGTGGGTCTGAGAGAAAACTGAAGCATTTAGGGTTGGAATCTTGGTGACACTAGGTTCTAAAAGGCCTCCCTCTTGCATGCTAGGGAGAACTCACAGGAGCCAACCAGGGAAGCCCTTGGGGCTGAGAACTTCCAAGGTCACTTGTGAGGAAATTAGGGTCCAGAAATAAGAGACTCCCTTCTGAAGATAGCCCACTACCATAGAGTTCATCAAACATTTACAGAGTCCCTCCTCTGAGCTGGGCACCAAAGGGGTGCCAGAAACTGCACATTCTGGAGAGGAAGGAGAGACAAGTATAGAAGTGATGTTGCTAAAATGCAGAATGGGGTGTTTGCCAGAGAAGGGCAGTTGCGTGGGGAAGCAGACAGAGATGGCCACCTGAAGGAGACAGCCCTGAGCAAATGCTTAAAGGACAGAAGGTTTTTATGAAGGGACTTTGATGACATTTTGCTGGGTGTGGAGAGTCGAGCCCACCTCTTCAGCAAGAGTCAGTCGCATGATGCACCACGAGTCCCATGAGCCCTTTGCATAAAAAACATTCCATGATCAGATCTATTTGGGAAACGTTCTTTCCTTCCTCCCTCTTCCAGAAATTCCCAATGTGCATTATACTAAAAGTCCCACAGGGAAGAAACTTGATGTTGGACTTTATTTCCTAGGCTGATTTGGCTTGGCACCCTATGTGTGTGTACATGTGCGTGTGTCTGTGTGTAGGTGTATATATGAGAAACCCCAGTGAAATCCCATGGAGTGCACGTCCCACGGGACACTTTTGGGAAATGCTGGCCTGGGGGACAACAGTGCATTGCAAGCAGGGGCCACGGGGGTATCCCACCTGGCACTGTGGTGAACTCTTCGCTGATCTCTTTTTCAGGAAATCAGAGAGATGGTGGCTCCTGTATTAAAAAGCTTCCAAGCTGAGGTAAGACCCAAGGCCTATGGCATGTCACAAAAACATTCCCTGCTTCCCTCTCCTATCCCACCTGAAGTTGCCAGAGGAAGCCGGCAGCCTCTGGAAGCTTGGGAGAACACATGCCCGTCCCCATTACAAACTCCACCCCATTCTTTCCAGATCAGCCAGTGGTGTGACATGATGAGAATGGGTTCTCTCTCTCCCTCTCCCTTGACTTTGTCCAGCCTTACATCAGCTCTGCTATATATAATATCTGTGACCTTGAACAAACCGCCTCACCTTCCAAGCTTGGTTTCCCATTTTTAAAATGAAGAGGTTTCTCAGTGACCTTTGCTGTGCATTCTGTTCAGCTTTGATTCTCTAAGGCAGTCTTGCAGATTAAGTCCAAACAGTTACCGGCCCACCCTGAAATCCTCTCTACTGACCCACCATCTGAGTATAAAACTAACACTGTTGACATTCTCTCCTGAAAACCCATCGGGCCCTGTTTCCTTCGGCAGCAGCTGAGCTGTCTTTAGCCAGTTGTTTCTCTTGCCTTCCTGGAGCCCTGTCATGGGGCTGAACCTCCCCCATTTCTTCTCTTGGCTTGACTCTGTGACCAGGATTCTGAGAATGTCCACTTGTCCTGCTGGCAAGGGAGGCAGGCGAGGAAGAGAATGGAGTTACACTGAGGCAGGATAGCAGAAGGGGAAGCCATTTGTCAATGTTCCATCTTCAGGGGACCTCTTCTCAGTCTCCCCTGGATTTAGGCAGGACCTTGGAAGGATTGGCCCTTCTCCGAGCTCTCTGGTGGAGACGCATTTTAAGTCTGTCATCCGCCAAGCGCCACATTACTTTAAATCTGTCTCTTTGGAACCGCGTAAGCGCATAAGGCAATATTAAAGTAAACAATAACTGGATTTACACAAATGTCGCTGATTTCCATATTTTTCATCCCTTCCTTTTATTATTGAGTTGACTGATATGCTTATTTATTTATAGGGCCATCCGGTATTGATTCATTTGGTTGTGAGGTGCCTGAGCTGAAAGGGGACGGTGCCGGGTGGGGTGGGGGGTGGGGGGAACAAACCAGAAAGACCAATGATGTTGGGAATTTGTTGTCATGGCTTTGTATTTTTAAAAAAGAGGTTCCCATCTGCAAGGCCCTGGTCCCATGAGGGGTTCTCAGTACACAAGCCCTCTCAGGCAGCTGATCCCTCTGCCCAGCCCACAGACAGGCACTGAGCGTCACTTTTTCAGCTGTTCCCTTGCTTGGGCTGGTATGGACAGAGCTTCTCTAAGCCACTTAGAGCCTCGGTTTCCCTATCTGTTCATGGGAATAAAGACACACTCAATCTTTTTATGTTGCTTTAAGGACTGAGAAGTAATGCAGGGAAGCAGTGTAATGTAATGCCTGGCACACAGAGAGCTGCCGGGCGATAAAGAGCAGACTCCGGAGCCAACCTGGGTTTGAACCCTGCCTCTGCCAGTTCCTCACTGTTTGACCTTGGGCAAGTTCCTTAACCTCTCTGTGCCTTTGTCTCCTTGTCTATAAAACCGGGTAATAATTATACCTCCTTCATAGGGTCATGACTGAGGAAGAACAAAGTTAATACCCATGGAGTTCTTAGAACATTGCTTTATATTAGTAGTCCTGGTTATTTTATTATTCCTGTTATCAGTCACCTCCAGGGCCTCTGCTATGCTTGGGCTGGAATCTACCTCTTTCCTAAGTAGATATTTAAAACTTTTCTCCAAAAGAAGGGGGCTTTCTATCCCTGAAGGAAACAGGTGTGACTTACATCATCTTTTCAATAGGAGAAAGAGTTCAACATTACGTTTGGGTGATGATCCAGAGAATACCCCAGTGCAGCATGGCAGAAAGCATGTGCAAATCAGACTGAGACAGGCCCGGCCTGAATTTCAGCCCTGCTGTTTACCTAGCTGTGTGGCTGGGGAGAGGTTCCTTAACCTTTCTGAGCTGCAGCTTTCCTCCTCTGGCAAATGAAGTTAACAGTAAGGATTCAAAGAACTAAAGGTGGAGGCAGTTGACCCAGTGTCTGGCCCACAGTTGGTACTCAGTAACTCACTGAGGGAGAGAAAGTTTTAGTGGGTCCAAAAGGGAAGACAAAGCTGAATTCTCATTTCCAAATTTTTGTGGCATGTTGAATTCACACTGTTTTAATAGCTGAGGATCTCCGAAGAACTTCGTTAATTTTCTTAAGAAGGCCTTCCATCGTCCCTTTAATGTACCAAAAAGACTAGATTTGTTTGGAGTTTTATTCCTGAAACCCCTGCTTTCCTCATGATCTATTGACTAATCCATCGTGGCCGCCATGTCCCTCCCTGCGCCTCCAGGGAGAAACGCCGCCAAAGAAAGGTGTTAATAAAAAGCATCTTCTTCGTCCAGAACAAACTGCTCACGCACAAGCCGTTTATAATCCAAATTTGATTTTCATTTTAATTTTTTTAATGAGGGTTCATCCTTTATGCCACTTCCCTTTCGTGATCCACCAGGCTCCAGGCTCAGAGCTGAGGATTCCCAAGTGGGCATTAATCACCTCCCAGGAATATTCCCTGAGGCAAACACTGTCTCAAGTCACATAAAGTAGCCCATAAAACGCCAGGGCTGAATATCGTACCCGTCATTCCTTCTTCCCCAGTGTGGGCCTCTTGTTGAAATATAACATGTTCAAGTTCATTCCTTAATTTCACTCCACCAGCCCTGGTATATAAAGAATCTGGGTATCCTTTTTATCTTTTCATTCTGTATATATGTGGGCCTTTTTTTCTTTTTCGCGCACGTGTGTGTGTGTGTGTGTGTGTGTGTGTGCACGCACATGCTAGTGGGAGGGGTGCGGAGAGGAAGTGAATTTACCCTGCTGTGAATCAAGGAAGGTTTTTCTCTCCGCCTTGATTGCTTAAAGGACAGTCTTGATTCCCCCTGCTCAGGGAAACAAAGACAGCCAGAGAAGGTGGCTTAATGGAGACAGCTTGAAATGGCCAAAGTTTGAATATCCTTGCGCGCAGAGAAAAGAGCAAGACGAAAGCCCCGCTAATTACAAAAGTTGCTTTATGAAAGATAATTCAAAGCAATAATTTAGCAAACATAATCAAGTCGCACAGATGGGGTTGTTGATGGATGGATTGCAACATGCAATTAGCAGCTCTCGCAGTTACATATCATTAACCCTCCGAGCACAAAAATTATTTTCTCATTATTAGTTGAAAAGGTAAAATTAAGCTGACTAGACAGTAAAGGAACAAACTACAATTAATTACCTTCATTTATTACAGTCATTATTTTAAACTTATTTTTACTTGGAGAGAGAGATGAAAACATCTAAATTAAAAGTTTTGTTATGCTAAACCAGAGGTGAAACTTTTCTAAGGAGTGTGTGTACTGGCCCAGCCACGAAGACGGCAGGCCCACTGCAAGATTTTTTTCTCTCTGCTTCCCTCTTCTTCCACCAGGAAGGGGATGTGGCCTGCATGATAGAAAACCCCTTGGCTGAGTCAGAACAGACACCTGAACCTGGGCCTGATGGAAACACTGCAGTTTGGGAACCAAGGGGGCTGATGCCTCCTCTGACCACCCAGGGTCTAACACGCAGGGTCTGAGTCCCACCCGAACACTGACAAGCTTATGTGACTTTGGCAGGTGACTTTATGTCTCTGCTGTTTCCTCGTGACGGCTCAGAGGATTGCATGAGCTTCGGTGAGATCCTCTGTCAAGTGACTGCTGAGTCGTTTATTCTCATCGTGGTGGGTGTGTTTGGTGGCATGGGGCAAAGATATTCTCTCTCTGTCCTCTCAGGGTCCAAGGGAGTTTGGGCAGCATGACCACCCTCTAGGAGCTTAGAGATGAGACCCAGGTGCCACTTATAAGAGACATATTCATCATCTGTTGAATCCCTGCAGTCATTTATTCACTCAACAAAACTTTACGGAAGCCCCACTGCATACTAGGTGGTGTTCTAGATGCTGGACACAGTGAAGGTCACAACCGGGCAGTCAAATAGATGCCTCTTGATGTGGGGGTGGGCAGGTATCTGTGTCCGCCCCAGAAGGGCCGCCTTTCTACTGGGCGCCTCACAGGTCCACTTAACAAATATTTGTGGAGCACCTACTATGTGCCAGGCTCCAAGTGAAAGCTGTGGAAGGTCCAAAGATGGTGAGAAATCATCGCTGCCCTTAAGGAATGTCACTAGAGGTTCAGTCCCTGTGATCAAAATAATGTCCCGTCATGTCAAGAGCTCATGGGAGGCCTCTTGATTTCCTCCCAGAGCTTCTTCTTTGCCGAGCTTCACACAATACCTCCCATCCCCTGCATAACTGCATTGTGTCTGGCATTCCCCCATCAAGAAATGGAATTTGTGTTTCCATTCTTTGAATCTGGGCCTGTGTCCACTTCAACCAATAGAATGTGGTAGAAGTGACCCTCTGTCAGTACTAGGTGGAGGCCTTCAGTGGACTGGCAGTTCTGCCTCCTGCCTCTTCCAGCCCAACCTGTATGGACAGGCCTTGGGAGATGAGACTCCACACGGAGGAGACGGGCTGGGAGCACCAAGGCCCCAGCACGAGTCCAGGAGCCATGTTGCCCATCCAGCCCAGTCGAGCCATCAGGCGACTGCAGCTGTAGCTGCCACCTGGCTGTGACCACCTGAGAGAGGACAAGAGAACTACCTAGCTGAGCCCCATCAACCCACAAAAGCATGAGAGATAATAAGTAATCACTTTGGGCCACTCCATTTTGGGGTGGCTGGTTACACAGCAATAGATCACCAGAATAGCCAGGATTGGCAGAGTGCCAATTCTTTCCCCTCTTTCCCCTGATTCTCAGCTCTCTTCTGCCTCTCCCCTCCTCTCTTCCACTTTTTCCTCCATTTTCTTCTCCACCTCCAGCTCCCCTCCCTCAGCCTTTTAGCAGATTTCAGCCTTCTCAAAACATTTCCCCCCAGCACCAAGTTCTTAGGTGTCCATTTCTGGAGAGTGCAGCCTCCCCCGCCCCCGCCCCAATGCCAGAGGGAGAGTGCCGGGTGCTCCTGGAAGAAAGTGCCTGGTGTTGCCCTGCAGATGCCCGGGCATCTGGGGAGGTGGGGAGTGTCAACAGCTTGGAAGATTTTGTCTCTTCTCCTTTGTGTTTCTTCTGATGGGATTGAGGCACAACTCTGAGACAAACCCCAATGGCTCAAGGGAGTCTAGAGCAGACCCAGTGGAAGGTCTGTTTATGGAGGAGCAGAGAGGTAGTGTTGAAATAGAGATTTGCAAGAAAGCAAAAGATGGAGTCTCCCTGCCTCCCCTGTGGGTCTTCTAGGTGGCAAAGCAGAGCACGTGCCCTCCAACTTGACAGCTCCGCCTCAGTGGATATTTGTTGGGTGAGTTGATGATTCAGTCAATCAATTGACAAATAGATATGTCTATCTCTAATCCAGTCAGATATCCTCTATTGTGCCATCTGTAAAGTGGGATGGAGACACTTGTCCCCCCTGATTTACATGGGTTTAGGGGTGCCACAATGGTCAGAGATGTAAGATATTATGACCTGCCATAGTTTGAAGCCTTCCAGAACCTTCCCTGCAGGCCTCACCCAGCCAAAGGTGCCCAGCACTGTCTACCCTGAGTCCAGTCCCTCTCACTTTCAGATGGGCAGACAGCTGGAAATTCCTTCTTTTGCCCACATCTGCCTGCCAGGATCTTGTGGTTGATCAGACCCGGTCCATGATCCCCACAGTGCTGCCTCCTGATCTGGGTGACACTAAAACCTCATTGCCCACTATCATCAGTTAGTAAGCCGCCAACCTTGGCACTAAAGGTGGGCCTTTCCTTTGTTAGAGAAGTCTCCCAAAGTGACTTTTCTTGCACGTCTACTATATGCTGCACACTTTCTAATGGTTATGTCATGTGTTTTCCATAATATCTCTATCAGGGAGAGGTTCTGTGATTACCCTCTTTCACATGTGAGGAAACCAGGGCTCACAGAGGAGGTGGCCAGCACCCATCCAGTGCCCAGGTCTGTACCTGTGGCGGGAGGGAAGTGAGGGTGCATGGACTCAGACCCAGGAGGGTGGTGCGGGATGATGAAAGTCCTTAGGGCAGAAACCTCAGGCCAGTGGGCCCCACCGCTCTCTGGCCCCTGCCTACATCTCCCCTCAGCCAGCAGACTACCGAACTTGGTCCTGCCTCAGAGTCCTGCAGAAAATTTGCTGTTCTCTTTGCCTGATTCACTCCTTTCAAGTGTCAGATCCTCAGGGAGTAAAGAAGCCCTCCCTAACCAACTTCCCCACACCCGCCACCTTTCACAGCACAGCCCTTACACTTACCCAGCATGACACTTAGCATAAGTCATCTTTACAGGTGCCAGATCATTCAGGCCTTGGGGCTACTTCCAGGGCTTTGGCTGTGACTCAGAATTAGGTGGGAGCCATAGGAGACTTTAGAGCAGACCAGGTCAGATTCAGGTTTCAATAGGATCCCTCCAACGGCTAATCAGATGGCATGGGGTAGGGTGCGCTTGGCCTTTCAGAGATGACTGAGAGGAGGAGACTGTCCCCTTGTACCCTCTACCTGAGCCCCTGCTCACCACCTCCAACCAGTGCCCAAAGCCTGAAGTCATCATTGACTTCTACACCATCTGTTCCAGCCCCAAACACTGAGTATCCCTTTTTCCCTCCCAGGCAGTCATGGGCAGGGAAGGAGGTCCTAACCCAGGAACAAGATTCCGAGGAGGTCAATCCGTGTTCCTGCAGCTGAGCTGCCTGAGAAAGGCATGGAGGGGTTCTTCACAGCTCAAATCACCTGAGACAGACATGTCTCTGCCTGCCCGGGCCATAATCCCCTAGTCAGCCCTGCATGCCATGTTGTAATCTGGTCCCTGTGCTCCCCTCCTGTTCTGCATGTACCTGCAGGACTCCTGCCCTTTCCTTTGAGCTGAAATTTAATTACAGGGCCTTTTTTTTTTTTTTTGGTCTTTTTACATTATTTGCTCTTCCAGCTATCTTTGATGTCATAATTCCCTTGCTCCCCAAACTACCCTTTCTCAGAGACTCCTAGCACTGGCATGACCATCCTTTGTAAATGAGACTTGTTACGGCCACAAATGACATTAGATGCATGTAGTCCTGACCAGCCAGCAAGACAGGGAGAAATGGCCTCGCTGACCAGCTGAACCCACTGGGAAAGACAAGCACTGGGGGCACGCATGGGCTCTGGAGCCAGGTTGGCACTGACTTGCATCCTAGCTCTCTTCTTCCTGGCTGTGTGACCCTGGGCAAGTCACTTAACCTCTCTGGGCCTCAGTTTTCTTGTTTTTAAATGGAGATAATAATAGTACCCACCTCAAAGGATTGATGTGCGGGTTAATTGAGTTGATACTTAAAAGCCCCAGGAACAAAACCCAGCACATAGTGTGTGCGCTCCTTGAACATAAATCGGCGTTCCAAATGGATGAGCTGAGACTTGTGTCATCATGTTTATTCTTCCCGCAAGCCCCATGAGTAGGTTTCTGGTCTTACCCATTTCTCAGGTGAGGTCACTGAGGCTCAGCAGCCAGCAAAGTTTATTGAGACTTTAGCAAAGCCTCTCACGTATCACTACCTCTCAGCAACATGATGAGAGAGGTGCTACTGGTATCGTCCTCTTTTACAGGTGAGAAATTGGGACTCGGACAGATTGGTTGCTTGCCTAAGCTCACACAGCTCTTCACCAACAGGGCAGAGCATGGAAGATTCAAACCTCAGTTTGAAGGGCTGAGCAGAGGCCTGGGAGTGCAGGAAGCACTGAGGATATAGATTCTAGATTGAGGGCTAAAATTGGACACTTGCAGGTGGCTAGGGCTGGGGAGGACCTCATCACTCAGCCAGACGCATGCCTTTCAGATGTGACTTTGCTGAGCTTTTTCAGATAGACTCCACCAGGGAAGCCTGACCCATAACGGGAGCTGGGATTCAAACCCAGGTCTGCACACCCAGCCCAGAACTTGGCATATAATAATTGCTCAGTAAACAGGGTGTAACTTGCAAGATGCAATGAAGACTTCTGTCCCTCCCACTGCCCCCGGCTTGCACACATGCACACACACTCCCTACCCTCTCCTCTTTGATGACTTAATAACCTTGATGGTGCAAGTCTCCTTGGCTCCCATAACGGGTCTTGCCCCTTTGGCTTTACCCTGCCCAGCTTGGGGTAAAACTTAAAATGAGCTGAACATCTTTCCAAATTTAATATTAAGAACCCACCAAAGCGTCATTGAACCTGTCACGCTGCATTACAACCAAATTAAGAACCAGCAGCGATCCTCTTTCATTCGGTATCATATGCCTTATAAAGTAAATTATTAATGCTTTTTTCCCCCCAGTTAAGCAGTTATTTGCAGTTGTTCCGGGTATTTCTCATTAGAAATAACATCATCTAAAGAACAATATTGATTGATTTTTTTTAATCTTGGAATCATGGACGTGAACCACATATTTATATGACATTCCCTTTAACTAGAATTCTCATGCTTTATTTTTATATTATTGATCTTTTTGACACGAATTGCTTTTTGGCCTTGTGCAAACGTTGTAAGCTTTCCGCCTACAGAGGAATGGGTCGGCGTCTGGGCCAGGCCGGGAAGAGTGATCGCTCCAGCGGCATGGCGGTAACATTCCCGCACATTTAACAACAATTAGTCTATGCTGACGCCATGGTAGGCTTTCGTGTATGAAAATTTACAAGCCTTTTAATGGACTGCATTATGGAAGGCCATGAGGGGCCAGTCGGTGGGGAGATGAGGCCGCCGGGCACGCATCCATCTTGTGGCACTGTCAGCCAAGTGTCTCTTAGCACTCGTGTCTGCCGGGGGGTGGCAGGGAGCAAAGCAGAAGCTTCTGCAACAGCTAGCCCACCACGCCAGCATGGGACATGTGGCCATTCCCACAGTCACTCATGCGACCATCCAGTAGATGTTTGTTGAGCACCTACTATGTGCCAAGCGCCTACTATGTGCCTGAGCATGAGGTGGTGAGCATCAGTATTCACTCATGTTCAAAAAATAGTTGAGCACCTGCTGTGTGCCAGGAACTGTGCCAAGGGCTGATAGTGAGAAGGTGAACACAAATTATTCATCAGGCGCCCTTGGTGGAGTAGAAATGACATAAGCCAAGAGTTGCACAGACCTGAGTTCAAATCCCATCTCTGTCCTTTGACAGGGTTTTCGGCAAACCTCAGTTTCCCTGGCTATAAAATAGGGATGGTAATAAATATAAACATAAAATAGGGATCCTCCCAGGGATCCATGCAGATAAAATGCTTGATGTGGTGTAAACCTCCCAGAGGCGGGACCATAGAATCATGATTATTTAGTGTCGTTGCTCTCCAGCCAGCTCCCCTGAAACATATGCACACCCTTGCTTCCCTTTTCAGTTCCACTGAGAACTTCACTCTACAGCAGACATTTATTTGGCACCTGCTGTTTACCAGGGTCAGTGCCAGGCTCTAGGTATATGGCAGTGAGCACCTCATATCCTATTCCTGTCTTCATGGCACTCACAGCCTAGTAGGAGAGACAGATGGACGCACACCCCTTGGTGCCACTGATAATCATGGCTATGATTGAGTTTCACGTGGCCAGGATGTGGGATGGGCAAGATTAAAACAGCCCACTCATTCCCTCGTTCCAAAACTATTTCTTGAGCCTCTACTGTGTGCAGACCCTGTTCAGGGCGCTAGGGACACAGCAGGGAACAAGAGAGACAGGGCCTTTGGCCCTGGGGAGCTCAGAGTACATTGGGGGACGTGGCGCATTGGTATCTTGCACATAAATTATTTGAAAGGCAGTATGTGCAGTGGTTGTTAGGGACAGCCTGGGTTCAAATCCTTGCTGTGCTACTTGCTAATTGTGTGGCCTGGGGCAAGATATTTTTCTCTCTGTGTTCCTTGATTTCTTCATCTGTAAATGGGACTCATTCGTACTTTATAAGGTAAGCGTGAGGATCAAATGAGGTTATAGCCAGAAAGGCTTAAAGCAATGACTGGTGCAAAGAAAGCTGAGAGCCCTGTTGGAGGCTAAGCACTGACCGTGGCTATGGCAATGTTCTGATTCTGAAATCCTCCAGCAGTGTATTGACTAATGACGGACGAGCTGAATGCTGCCAAGGCAAAACGAGTTGCACCCAGAATGGCCCCACTCCTGCCTTCCTTTTGATCTAGCTGAGAGGCAGAGGGCCGGACTGCATGACCCCCTAGGGTTGTTGCCAGGGTGGGGCCCCTGAAGTGTCATCCCCAAGTTTAGGTACTGGAAAAGGAACCTTCCTGGATGTGGGTGTCCTCCATGAGGGGAGCCCTGCAAGAGGCCCTCAAGCATCCAGTATCACAGTCTACCCCTCCCTGTGCCCTGAGCGTCAGGACTAAGGCCCAGAGAGGTTAAGAAACCCACCTAGGGTCACACAGCGAGGGAAAGGAAAGGCCTAGATGCAGATTCAAGTCCATTTAATCCCCATACTCAGAGTGGCCTCAGTCAGGCAGCTAATGAAGGCAAAGGCACTGGATTTGGAGTCTCAGAAAACCAAGTCCAAGTCCCACCACTGCTCCTTGGCTGTGTGACCTTGGGTAGCTCACTTCACCAACCTCAGTCTCCTGCTCTGTAGAATGGGTTCTTGTAACTCCCACGGTGTTTATCGGTTTATCGGTGGGAGGGAGAGACAGGCAGATTGCCACGTGGTCACCAAGCAGAAAGGAAATCTTTCCCTCTAACTGACAGCAGTATCTTTCCTTTAAGGCTTTGCCACTCAAAGTGTGGTCCATGGGCCAGCAGCATCTGCATCACCTGGGAGTTCAGTAGAAAGGCAGTCTCAGCCTCCCACCCTCCCCCAGACCTCCTGAATCAGAATCTACAGTTGAACAAAGTCCTCTGGTGTGATTCATAATCATGTTGAAGTTTGAGATGCTCAACCTTAGACCAGCCCACTGGCTTTCAACCCTGGCTGCCCAGAGGAATCTCCTGAGGGCTTTAAAAAAAAAAAAACACTGAGATCTGGGTCTCACCCCAGAGTGGCTGGCATTCTTGGTCTGGTATGAGGCTTGGGCATCAGGATTTTAAAAGCTTCTGCTGGTGATTCTAATGTTTGAGGAGCTCTGCCCTAGAAGCCACCATCTAGTGGAGGAGACAGACACAGGGAAATAACCAGCGACGTGCTGGTCAATACTGAACAACGTGGGGGGGGGGGGGCGGGGGGGGAGACGGGACTGATTTGTATCATCTGCCACTTTCCACAGTGTAAATCCTTCCAGCATGGCCAATTTCAAGCTGCCAGCACGGGGTTGGGAAGAGAAGCACAGTTCACCATGCAGACGTAATAGATGTGAGTAACCTTAAAGCACAGAGAGGAGTGAAATGCAATCAAACAATTAGGAAGTAATGAGTACTGAATATGTATTTCCTTTTTTTTTTTTCAAATTTTTGTGGCAAAATACATATAACTTAAAATTTACCATCTTAGCTGCTTTTAAGTGTACAGTTCAGTGACATTAGGTACATTCACACTGTTGTGCAACCATCACCATCATCCATTCCCAGAACTTTTTTCATCTTCCCAAACTAAAACTCATTCAACAAGAGTACCCATTCAACAAGAATTCCCCATTCCCCAGCCCTGGCAACCACCATTCTCGTTTCTGAATCTCACTTTGGCTACTCTAAGTAATTCATGTAAGTGGAATCATACAGTTGTTGTCTTTATGTGGCTGGCTAATTTCATTCAGCATAATGTCCTCAAGATTCATCCATTTGTAGTATCGTTATTTTTAACATAAATTATTTACTGTAATTATAGGTTCATTTGATTTAATTTTTAATAATGGCTGTGTTTAACAACCAGCTTGCAAAATTCCTGAAAATTTAACAATCAGCTTTTGCAAGCTCCTACAGGCGAGCCCCAACACACCACCAGAAGTAAGCCTTGTACTAAGTAAGAACAGGGCAGGCTTTAGGACAGAGGTCAGCAAACGATGGCCCATGGGCCAAAGCCTGTTTGTATAAATAAAGTTTTATGGGAACACAGCCATGCTCATTCATTTATGTGTCGTCTATAGCTGTTTTCATATCACAACAGCAGAGTTCAGTAGCTGCAACAGAACCCGTATGGCCTGCGGAGCCAAAGATATTTATTATCTGACCCTTTACTGGAGAAGTTTGCTGACCCCTGCTTTTAGGTGTATAGGGAGTGGAAGAGATTGAATTGACTTATTCATTCATTTGTTTACTCAGCAAATATTTGCAAAACACTTCTGTGTGCCAGGCATTGTTCTAGGCACAGGTGCAAATAAGACAAAGTCCATTCCCTCCCAGAGGTGACCTTCTGGGGGAAGACAGACATAATTCAGACACTCACACAGCAAGTAAATACAGTACAATTACCATCTGCAGCAGGGGCGGTGACAGGGAGCTTCCTGGGGCTGTGAGAGCCTCCTGGGATGTCAGGGAGGGCTTCCAGGAGGAAATGACCTATGAACTAAAGCAAGAGTAGGAACATCAGAATGTGGCTAAAACCCCAGGAAGGGCAGAATGGCATTCCAGGTAAAAGGAACAGTATGTGCAAAAGCCCTGAGGTGGGAAGGAAGTTAGACTTGCAGGGGCTAAAAGCCAGGGAAAGGTATCCTGAGTCCCCAGGCCCTCACCTATGCCCTGGCCTCTGTCCACCCCCAGATCCACCCTGCCAAGCACAGCATCACCTTGAACCAGGCTCACCCAGGCAGGTTGGTACCCATTGCCTCCCCACCCTCAAAGGCCACTTCCTAAAGTCTCTCCACTCTCCCCTCTCCTGGCCCTGGAACCCACACTGCAGCAGACAAAGGTCTCGTATTTATTTCCTCCCTGAGGTTTATAAACTCCTGCCCTGTAATAAAATTATTCCCATCACAAGCACAAAATAATAACAATTAAAATACATAAAACCAAATATTAGTGGGGACCAACAAAGATGAAGATTAGCCAAATCCTATGTCCCAGAACCAAGCAGAGAACCTGCCCTAAGACACAGAGGTGGGGCCAAGGGGCAGGAGGGTATTTCCATTTCTTGAGCTCCTCCTGGGTGCCACGTTCAAGGCTGACTGTCTGACATCTGGAATGTTGTGGAATATTCTAGGGAATTCTAAAATAGAGATGATTGTGTTTCTTTTATAAGGAGGAAACTGAGACTCAGAGAGGTTGACATCAGATCACCTAGCCACTAAGGAGAAGAGCTGGGATTTGAACCCATGTGTGTCAGCATGAGTCCTAGGAGGCTCATTCCTGTAGCAGCGTCGAGCATAGCTGGAGTTTATTTCTCACATCACAATCTAGTGCTGGTTGATGGGGGGAAGGAGACTGTTCACTGTAGTCATTCAGGGACCCAGGCATGTCTTATCTTCTGGCTCTGCCCTCCACTGTGTCCCAGAGTCCCCTTCCTTTGGTTGACACGGCGGGGCGGGGGGGGAGGAAAACATGGTGGATCTCTGGGGAGGTTCTCAAGATCCAGACCTGGAAGTGGCCACATCATTTTTGCACACATTCCCTTGGCCAGATTTCAATTACAAGGCCATGTCCAATTTTAAGGGAGGCTGAAAAGATAGTCTACATTGTGTGCCCAAGAAGGAGAGAAGAAGTCAGGGTTATGTGAGCACATAACCATGTCTGTTGCCCTGTGGACTCCCTCCTTGATGAAGCACCTTCCTCATTAGCTGTTGGGGAACAGGATGGAGCCCAGAATGCAGAGCTTTGTACACAGGATCAGTACATTTTGGAAAGATGAATGGGAAATGGAATTCAAGGGTCTGCCAAATCCAAGGGGCAGCAAAGCAAGAGCAAGGAAGGATTTTAACAGTTTGGCAGATGTTTTAAAGCCCCTACTGTGTGTCCTGCTCTGTGCTGGACTGGCTAAGGGAAGAAATGAGCTCTGTCCCAACAAGAAGGCCAAACCACCCCCGAGGAACCCACATTCACAGTCCACTAGGAAAGGAAGCAGAAGCGAAGTAGGAGGAAAATGCCCTGTGTGCCGTGGTGAATGATTATTTCATAGGCAGGCAATAGGGAAGACTTCCCGGAGGAGGTGAAGTTGCGCTCAGGTGAGGAAGACAGATAGGATGGAACATGGAGAGGAGAATGAGGTGTGGCGGTAAAGAGCACAGGCCTTGGCATCAGGCAGACCTGGGTTCAAGCCCCACTTGGATCACTGAGGAGGTGATCTCAGGCAGGTCACTTCCTCTCGTTCCAAGCTTTAGTTTCATCAGTAAATTAGTGCCTACCGTACAGGTTTGTCATGAGGATGAAATGAGATGGTCATGGGGGTGGAGTGCTTAGCTAAGTGCATAGCACACAGAAGGCTTAAAATGAAGACTAATTATTTCTCAGTGGCTGTTCAGTGGGCAGTGCCACTGAATCTCTCTGGAGGTATGATCCATGGGGATCAGGGGAGAGGACAAGGCTAGGAAAGACATTCAGGTACAACAGAGGGACCCTGAGTGCCAGGCTCAGTCTGCGTTTCGTCTCATGGGCAGAGGAGGTGCTACAGAGTCTCTTTTGGTGTATGAGGACAGCAGCCCTAGAAACCTTTTCTAGAAAGACCCCTCTGGAGGTCTGTGGGGTGGAGATGGTTGACTCAAGAGTCAAAATCTGGAGCATTTGAGACCTACAGCAATAATGGTGTCCTGGCCTGAGGCAGGGGCAAAAGAGTGGCAAAGACAAGGCTGGTGTGAAAGAGCTTGGAAGTGGGTGGGGCCCAGACTAGACATGGCAGATGGAGATACAGGGCCTGGGTCTCAGGCTCCAGAGGGCAACAGGGCATGACAGCATTAACAGAAGAGGCAGAGGCAGAGCTGGTTTTGGGGAAACAATCCCAGTTGGTTTGGACACCCAGCCTCTAGGAGCCAGGGACTCCTGGACTCAACCTGGCTCTGCCTCTCACCAGCTGTGTGATCTTGAGCAAGTCATTTGCCCTCCCTGAGCCTCACCTCCTTCATCTGGAAAACAAGGATAATATTATCCTTCCCTAATAGGGTTGTTGTGGAGGATTCCATAAGATTATGCCTAGCACACAGTAGGTGCTCAAGAAACAGTCTTTGTTATCACCATAATTTTTCCTATTGAGTCAGACCAATAGAAAAGAAAAGGCAGATGCTAAACCAGCAGGTTCCTCAGACACTCTGTAGGCTATGAGGATACTACTACTAATAACAACGTCAGTAACCACAGCAGCAGCCAAACCCTCCTGTGTGCTCCGTATATGCCAGGCATTCTTCCAGACCCTCTACAAGTACTGTCCTTTGACATCATTGCTGCAAGCCTCTGGGATAGGGGTTGATATTGTGCCTGTTGTAGAGACGAACAAACTGAGACATGAAGGCCAAACAGCTAGGAGATTGGGTGAACAGCCCAGGAGCTTCTGTTTTGGAGATCAGATCTGCCTGGGAGGTAAATAATTCTACTCTGGGCCCCAAGGAGTGCCAGGCCAGCTCTTAACCACATGCCCTGAGGTGAGACGAGAGAGAGTCTCAAAGAAGCCAAAGGATTAGAGGCTACAGCCTGATTGACATTGGTTCAAGAGAAATGCCCAGAAGATTTTATTTATTTTATGTTCTACTTAATTGTGTGAGACCTGGGTTCAAATTTGGATCTGCCACTTGCCTAGCATCTTTGAGTCATAAAAAGATTTTTCAAATCTCTCTGCTTTAATTTTCTTTCGTATAATAATTACAAAGATAAATAACAAATAATTGCCAAAAAACACATTGCCTTCTAAAAGCAGCAAAAACTTTCCGGCATCCAAGACAAAGGAAGGTCATTGTGTCCATCCCCGTCTCCAGACAGCTTGACTCCAAGTTATCCTGGACAGAGAGCTGTTGTGCAGGGCTTCTGAGCCTTTGCACATTCTGTTCCCTTCTCCCAGAATGCTTTTCCTACATAAGCTCCCAGCAAATCCCTGCTTGTCTTTCAAGGCTCCACCCAAATGTGACCTTAACTGTGAGAGTCCTGGTCCTCCAGGTCCCTGTCTTCACCTGTGTCCCCTGGGCCTTTTCTGCCATCCTTTCTGGAAGAGGCCCTTTCAATGGGCAGGGATGGGGTTTTGACATCTCTGCTTCTTCTGAAAATTAGGTATCACAGAATCCAGTTCTATTGTTTTCCAAATTAATTTAAATAGTACTCTCTGCCAGCAGCCCAGGTGGGCTCTTAAGAAGGCAGACAACACATGGCATGGCTCTCTGCTTATAACCCTCCAGTAACTTCCACTGGAGGCTGGAATGAAATCCAGACCTCTAACCAACAAGGCCCTCGGCCCCCGAGCCTCTGCCTTATCTCTCACCCTGTTCCCC